TCGTACATCTTTAATCGTTTGCTCAAACTCTCCCCACTGGGAGGGGGGCGGTTATGCCGCCGAGCTGTATGACTATCCCCTCCTACTGGTCCTCCTGCAATAGTATTGATCACCCGGCCAGATTCTGAGCTTCTTGTTCGGGAGTTCGGCCACGGGGCCCCTGAGGTCGATCACGGGAGTAGCTTAGGTGCTCTGGTTTGGGCCTCCCCCGTCGTGGGTCAGTTCGCTCATCACGTATGAACTGCCCGAGGTGGCCCGTGTGATCAACTTTTCAATGTCTTTTTTGAGGTGGCGAAAATCCTCCGTATCGTGTCCCACATCTCGGTGATACGCATAATACAAACTCTGATCCCGCTCGCTCTTGTCCCCGCCCTTGCCGGGGAGGTCGGGAAAGCCCCTTTTGTTCCATCACAGCGAGAACCCGAGCTCGAGGTGCGGTGAGGGCAATCTAAGACTTATCTCCTCCCATGGGCCGACTCCTAGGCAGGAGTTCATAGACATTCTTCCGTCCCTGGCCGTGCCGCGCGTCTATCTGGTCGGAGTTCCTCCTGCGCTTATCGTCCCTCAGTCTTTCCTGCGCGCTCTTCAGGCGATTGGCCTCCTCAGCATTGGCCTTCTCGTGAGCTCGGTCCAGCATCTCCCTAACCGACTTGGGAGGTCTTTCCACGAGCTCGTGTAGAGCTTCTGTTTACGCAACCATTGATGAAGGTAGCCATGACCACCTTGTTATCCCGATCACGGACTTGGAGGGACTCGTTATTGAAACGTACCATGTACTCACGCAAGGACTCCTCAGGCTTCTGCTGGATGGTCATCAGGTGAGCGGTGCTTTTGGAGAAGGCTCGCGACGATACGAACTGTGCTGCGAACAGCCGCGCGAGCTGGGCAAAGGATCGGATAGACCTGGGGGGAAGCCCCTGGAACCATTGACGTGCCTTTCCCTCCAGGAACAGTGGAAAGGTCTTGCATCTGACCGCGTCCGCGGCCGTTTGTAGACGCATTTACGTCATAAATGCAAACAGGTGGTCCTCCGGATCCGTGGTTGCATCGTAAGATTTCATGCTCGGTATTTTGAATTTCGCGGGCAGCGGATAGTCCTCAATATCGGGCACGAAGGGAGAAACAATGTACCTGTCCGCCTCAGGGTCCAACAGTAGGTCCAGCTCGTCCTGCACTTGGAGCTGCTCTCTCCGCTAGGAGAGCTCTCCCCTTGAGAACCTCCGAAAGGGCTCCGGGTGCTCAGTTCGGAAGTGCTTGTGGGAGGTTCCACGATCTCGATCTTGTTCACGTGTGAGCTCCTTACGCATCCTCTTAAGCCGGGGATTTGGACTCCCCGCTCTGGATTCTGATAGTCCAACTCCTTCCACCCCTTGGACCTTAGGTTCCTGGTCATGATGACCTCCTGTCTGTCCCTTGAGGTAGTCCATGATAGCCTCGAAGGTAGGTAAGTTTTCTGCCACCGTCTGAACCAGCTGCTCAGGCGGGATTCGTGAGAGCCCCACCCCCTCGTCTCTAGGAGTCGGACCCGAAGGGAGTTCTGAGGGCCGCTTCGCTCATTCCCCTTGGATCCGTCAACGTTCCTCTGAGACCTAGTCCTTGGTATGATTCGCAAGAGAAGAATTTACGTGTTTTCCACAGACGGCGCCAATTGATGCGACGGTCAAGAACGCAGTCCGAGCTGGGTGAGTGGAGCCGAGCTGAGAGGGGCAAGTCGAACCGACTATCCTACGAAGAAAGAACAACGGCGGGGCTAGAGTCCCCGGAGTAGCTCCGACGGTCAAGTCAGTAGAGCTTGTGAGTAGGGTAATCATATAGAGAACTGTAGATGGTGTACCTTGAGTTGTCGAGTAGTGCTATATTTATAGGCTGGAGGGAGAAAGTTTCCTTATAGGATTTTGAGTCCTAGTCAAGGGGGAGTCTTGCTAGGGTTTCACCCGTGGATCCCGAAAGGTTTGGGAGGCACGGCCCGTTAAGCCCACACGGCTTGCAGGGTGGCCGAACTGATGCTCTCTATGTCCGAGCTGCTTTGCCCGAACTGCCATATCACAACATCCGAGCTAACACGTGGCTACTGGAAATTTGCCCCACTACAACTGCATAAGTCGATTGGAGTGAATCTCCTCGACTCTTAAGTGTAAGCATGGGGACGCCCAATTCTCACTGGCCAACCTTGGGCTCGAGCCGGCATGGACTTGGTCGGACTCCTTGGTGAACCATGAGAAAAAAATAAGCTTGACATATTGAGAGGTCTTGCTTGGCATACTCGAGCAGTGTCGTCTCAAACAAATGAAAGGTGGGCCCGGTATAGGGATATGTAACGGTGAACGGGACATGATAAATGAAATTCTACGGACTATAACCTACCCGATTGATGGAGTGTCAATTCGTGGAGGTTCTTGATCGTGCAAGTGGAAAATAACTCCTGAGAACTCCTATATTCTTGAATGTTTTTGTTTACTTTTCTAGCTCGAATTGTTATTTACTTGAATATTATTGCTTTACTTGTCAATTGGGATTGTTACTCGAACAACGTGCTTGCATGTATGTTTGTGTTGGCCTCACGAGCGATTGCTCAGCCTCACGAGCGATTGCTCACCCTGTAGATTTGTTCTCCTTAACAGGTATGGACATGGAGTGAAAATCGGAGAAACCCTTTGGGATGTACTTTTGTATTAGGGTTTTAAATGTAATTGACTAAACATTATGGTTGTTGTATATTTTGGGAATTGATGTATCTATTGGGAACCTAATGTAAGAATTGGATAACTAATGTATCTTAAACTCGTGGTGTAAGACTTGGATATTCGATTATGGAAACGACTTTTCTTTATTAGACTTGTATTAATTGTTATGTATCGTTAAGCTTGAATCGAATTAATGGTGATTGGAATTAAGTGGTGCTCTACTGGACTGATTACACTACTTTGAAAGTTGATGGAGTGTCAACTATTTCCTGGCAAGCTATGGCCTATGGCCGAGTTAGTTTGCAGGAGCGACTGTATCCTTATGCTTGGAAATGTTGAATATCTATTCAATTTGCTACTTGAAGTGTTATTGCTAAGTTTTATGAATTTTTATGCACGCTACTTTGATATTTCAAGTTTTATATAATAGCCAACTTGCTATTTGGTTTTGCATGAGGTTTTGGAAGTTTACTGAGTTTTGACTTACCCCATTAGTTGGAGGTACGAGCATAGGTGTGAGGTTGGGACAAACTGGTGTCGTCTAGTTTTGACTTTTATGATTGTACTCGCGTTAGTGTTCGATTAGGGTCTGAAGCTCAACTAGTACTTGAACCTTTTGTCATATTTGGGAATGTATGAACGTTTAGAGACAGACATGAGTATGAATGTACATTCTAAGTTTAGGAACTGTTGTTTCATTTACGTTTGAAATTATAATTTGTTTTCTTGAAAATGAGAGTGGGTGAGTCCTGACGAGAGTTGGGCAGACGGTCCGCTAAACCCTAGGGTACGCTTCAGGAAGAAGTGGGGCCATCACAAATCCTACAACAACAAAATCCATAAAATAATTCCTTTTCGTTCATTCATCAGACTATATTAACAGTTTACAGTTAACAAATTTAGCATCCTAATCTATAAAAACCTTATGAGTGGCGTGGACAACACCTACCATGCACTGCATGGTGAAAATTGCCTAGTTTACCTCTAATTCATAACATGCACAGAATACCATTACTTTTCCTTATTGACTCTTGCCGTTATACGTAAGCACTTTCTTCTTTCCTTTTTTTAAAAAAATTTTTTTTCCATTCTTATTTTGTTAGTTAACTCTTCTTAAACTCACACAGTATCAAATTTATAATTTTTCTTCAAACTTCTATCTTCTATATCACTATTTGTTGCCTTTTTTTTTAATCTTCATTCCTTTTATATGGAAGAACTAGGATTATATCTTGTCTAAGAAATGATGTCGAGGGTTGAATTGAAGGAAGTAAGGGATTGAAGAGAAGTGAATAAGAGGAAATTGAAATCTAAAAAGCTGCATAACTATACTGGAACAAAACTTTAAGTAGATGAAAAAGGTTCAAACAAATGTGGATTATTGCGGCAACGGTTAGGAAAACAAATTCCTTTGTGATATTAATTGTGTCTTAACATTTATTTATCAAAAGTTTGCAATACAACCAACTCCTTCGCGCAAATGCACTAGGTCACACAAATGCACTAATTTTTTGAAAATTAAAATTAATAAAGCACTCAATAATTGCATTAAACTATTGCACAATCTGCTCAAAACAATCAAAAAACTTAAATGATTGAATTGCCATTCTATGAAGCATATGAAATTTGTGAAAAGTTACCCAAAACTGTTTAATCCACATGACCAAAACTACACACAGTCCATAATGCATACACACCGAAGCAATTGATAGCAGGCTACATCGTTCGTGCCCCATGTCCGACGGCTTTTGAGTAGTGCTGTTAATTGAGCGAGTATCTGAGCGCCGAGCTCGACTCGTGAAGAATTCGAGCCAAACTCGAGCTCGCTCGATAGCGCAGACGAGCTATGATATGCACTCGAACTCGACTCGAAAAATGGAAATGTGACTCGAACTCGAGCTCGAGCTCGACTCGTTTATCACAAACGAGCCAGGCTCGGACGAGCTCGAGGCTCAAGTTCGAGGCTCGATTTTAGACTCGAGTTCGAAGCTCGAGGCTCGATTTTGAGGCTTGATTTCGCAATTGAACAATCAGTTATTACGACGTTCTACTCCCATATCCAGATTTAGGCTATCTAAAATCAACAAAAAATATTAGGATTGGCAACCAATGCCATTCACATTCAACAATACACAAACTCTAACCACATTTCATCCAAGACAAATAAGACCATAACATCCATACAACACAAACTCTAGGAATAAAAAAAAAACAAATACACAAACTAGAGTCTAATTCCATACGAGACAACATTCATAAGAGCCAATACCATAACAGGTTATGTCCAGCCAAATAAACGCACAAACTACAGCCAAATAACCATGAAAAACACTGCTACATAGCTTAAAAATTGTCCAACTTCAGAAATCACAAGAAAAAGTACAACCCCTTCAGAAATCACAAGAAAAAGTATAGCTTCACAAGTCCAGCTTTACAAATCACAATAAACAGCATCACATATTCCAGAAAACAGCCTTCAAATGTCTGAAAGATCAATTTCTTCAATTGTAGATGATTCGGAAACATCGAGTGGTTCCTACAAAATGAAAACAAGAAAGTTACAACTCCTAGCAAGATAAAATGAGCTGCCAAAATAAACAACTAGTAGAGTATATATTTTACTTACACGAGACTTGTTTTTTAACCCATGAAGATTGCGGATCCAATCATTCCCACAAAGTAGCATTTGCACCGTTTCAACGGACATAGAAGCACGTCTATCATCGATTATTCTACCACCAGCACTGAAAGTAGATTCGGACGCCACGGTTGTAACTGGAATAGCGAGTACATCACTTGCCAATCTTGACAATATAGGAAACCTCCACCTTTCCCCTTTCCACCAACCCAAGACATCAAGATTTGCATTTGCATCACAAACATACCTGCCTTCTTCCAAATAGACATCTAAATCTGATTTTTCAGGGAGCCTTGTCAATTTCACTAACAATCATCTGAAATTTTTCTTTCCCAGTTAGAACATTAACTCCAAGCTTTTTAGCAGCCCCTTGAGTAGATTTACTTGAAATTTCCGAATGTTTTCTTTTTCCACTTCCCTTTGTGGTTCCTCACTATGAGATGAGATGTGAGCATCCACATATTCATTATAGAGGTCATAAAGAATGCATCTAATCTCATCAATGTACCTAGGGGCTGCAACTTCTCCATAAATAACTGGGAAAGTATGACTAACAAGGACCATTTTGTACCTCGGATCAAGAATAGCACCCAAAGACATCAAAACATTGCTTTCACCCCAATACTTGTCAAATTTTTGTGTCATACTTTCAGCCATAAACCTAATATGATCAGAAAAATCGAGAGCTTTTTCATTTAATAGCTCTTTAATCCTATACAACTCTACAAGAAAAAGGTTAGTCGTTGTGTAATCGGATCCAGAAATAATATTGGTGATCTCATAAAAAATACCCAAAAATTTACATACTTCTTCAACTTTCACCACTCAAACTCACTTGGGACATAGTGAAACCCAGGATCAATGTCCCCATACCTGGAAATACATCCCTAAACTCTAGAGCTGAAGCCAACATCAAATAAGTGTTGTTCCACCTAGTTGGGCAGTCCAAAATGAGCTTTAGAAGGCAATTGAAGCTGTTTTTTTATTTTGGCAAATTCATTGAGGCGAGACTCTGAATTTTTCAAATATTTAATCCCCTCTCGAACAACATCAATCACATCAACAATTTGATTAAGCCCATCTTGAACAAGCAAATTAAGTATATGGGCACAACACCTAACATGAAAAATTTTTCCTCCAATGCTCAACCTTTTTCTTAGAGAGAAATCCTCTTTAAGTCTCCTAATGCATACATCATTATAAGAAGCATTGTCCACAATGATAGTAGAAACTTATTTTCAATCCCCACTCAAGAAAACACTTACTTAACGCATCGGCAATAATTACCCCCGTGTGAGGAGGTGGGACATTACAAAAATTTAGAACCGTTTTTGCAACACCCAATCACTATCAACAAAATGCCCTGTCACAACCATGTATTGAATTTTTTGACCAGATTTCCACAAATCTGTGGTTATACTAACCCTATTGGCACCTTTTAATATATTTCTCAGCCTTCTCTTTTCAAGCATGTAAGCACTCACACAATCTTCCTTTACTGTTGCCTGTTAATCTTTTTATAAAATGGAGATGCAGCTTTCATGAACTTGTTAAAAACAACATGATCCAACATAGAGAAGGGATACTCATGTACAAGAACCATATGAGCTGCTAACTCTCGTACTTTAGCATGATCATAAGAGAAATTAGTTATAGAAGTTATACCATCCGAGGGTCCTTCGGTAAAGGATAACACTTGCTGCCTCTTTTGATTTTCCTCCCCAACAGCCAGCCTCTTTTGTAGGCAATTTTTGAGGTGACGCTTGTGTTGAGAAGTAGCTCCAGATGGATTTTTGACAAATAGTTCTTTGCAGTGATTGCACGCACTTTCAATGTTCCATCAGGCTGTTTTACTATTGTCATATCCTCCCATATTGTTGACTTCTTTTTCCGTTGTTTTTTTCAAACGGATTTGCTCCTTAATAGCACCTTTTTCCCCTGTTTCTGTTCCTTCATTCGGCTGATCTAAGTGATCTAAGTCCAGCTCTTCTTCGCTCATTCATCAGCATTAGACTCCACCTCAAGTTCTTGTTTACAGCTTCATTTCCAACCTCCATAATAGGATTTGTTGACGATCCTTGGTGTGAATGAAATGGAGGACTGTACATACCTATTATTTAAAAGGAAAAATATACTTGAGTCAAGTCCATAAGGAACATATGTAGGAATATATGCAGTCAAGTCCATATGATATTTAATAACTATTTTCAACTTCCTTTTCGCCATTTCTACAAATGCATGAATCCAAATTAGCAATAAAACCTGAAGTACCATTTATGCAACGAATAACAAACAATTTTAGCAAAAAAATTTTGCCAATAATATATCCTTAGTTTCTTCTAATTCTCAATGGCACATGGGAAACCAATCTCAATTTTAAAATGCAAAAGATATATTTAAAAGTAATCTTCATGAGTGGATAAATTACGAATAACTCATTTAGTAGGTGATTGATTAGATTAAGAACTAAAGTGTGATGAACTTATACTTTAGGGGATTACATTCTTTACATATTTAGTGTCAATTATAATATAGAAAGTTGAATGTATAAATTTATTAGTTGTAGTTTAAGAGTAACTAATTTAGTCGCTAATAAATTATTAGTTAATTGATTTAGTGGGTAGCAAACAACTAAAGAAACTAAAGAAAGGGCAAAAAAAAAAGAGAAGTATGCTGTCCAAATTAAGCCCGTAAGGCTTTGTGAGTAAAAAATGAACCACCCTTTGGAGAGGCTTTGCAGAGTTGAGGTTAAACTCTAAGATGAAAACTCTTAATTGGAAACCAAATTTGGCAGCTTTAGCTTTGAAGCACTAACATAACAGTCCCATATAACATGATGCTACCCAACTTGGCATTTGAATGACAAAATTTTTGGATTCTTCATAATTAATACAATCAAAAACATTAAAAAGAGAAAATTGAAGTGTAATATAGTGTCTGTACGTATCAAACTTAAATTGGATTTCCAAGATAACAGTCTTCTTTCTGAAATTGCATAAGCTATCCATTTTGGAATGTAAAAACATTACAAAATTAAAAAAATTAACTACTACAGAACAGAAATTACGGGTCATTATTGATTATGCAAATTACAGAAATTACATAAATTATGCAAAATCCTTAAAAGCCTTGCAAGTAGAAGATGGTCACCAGACATTTAAGTCCTTCTCACATCACATGTTAAGTTTTTGAACCGTAAGCAGCAATGAAACCTAAAACTAGATTTGGGGGCCGAAACACCGCAGGTTCTGAACTCTTGTCATTTAGTATAATTTACCTACGAAAAGAGACAATACTTACCAGAAATCACGAAGGATTAGAGAAACCAGTCAAATTGGACTGGTTTTGGCCGGCGGTGGACCGGTTGTTAATGGCAGAAAACAGAGGCTGTGGCCTGTGGGTTGAGTCTGTGGGCGGCGGTGGAGGCAGAGGTTGCTGACTTGCTGTGGGTTGCGGCTGTGGACTGCGGCTTGCTGTGGAGTACGGCGGGGCTGTGGGTGCGGCTGCGGGTTGCGGGGTTGCGGGCTGTGGGTGCGAGGCTGCGGGGTTGCGGTGTTGCTGGCTGCGGGGTTGCTGGGTTGCGGGGCTGCAGGGTTGTGGGTGCGGCTGTGGGTTGGTAGCTACGGGGTGCGGCAGAGAGGGAGAGGCGGAAATGAAGAATGAAACGATGTAATATCAAGTTATCAACCCTAGTCCAAATTTCTACTTGTTGACTATTAAAATGACAAAAATACCCTTCTTTGTCGAGCTCAACCGAGCTACTCGGTAAAGAAGCGAGTTCGAGCTTACTCGGCTTGATAACTAAACGAGTATTTTTCGAGCTCGAGCTCGGCTCGTTAATTGAAATTAACGAGTCGAACTCGAGTCTTATCGAGCCGAATTCTAACGAGCTTTCGAGCTGCTTGTTTTGCTTAACAGCTCTACTTTTGAGCTTCACTTTCAAGCTACCCGCCTAAACCCCAAACAGTGACGATGTGAAATACGCATAACCCGAGAAGTTGAAACCGTTTCCTCTCAGGCAATTCCCACCGCCATTGATTTTCCCATTTACAGAAATCCCAATGATTTTCATCCACAACCCACCTGTACTACCCAACTAAAAGCTCTCAAAAACAACTATGGCTTCAGTAACCAAAGATCAAATCTCCATAGACATCAAACCGCCATTGTCATCAGCGGCATTAGCCCCGCTTCCTCCGCCGCCCCGCCGCCACCACCTCCACCGCCACCGCCGCAGCTGGAGGAGCACAAGAATATGGAGCAGCAGCAGCCCGGATTTTGGGTAGATTTAACAGCGGAAGAGTTGCCTAAAGAACAGAGTGAAAGAGTGCCCTTTCCACTCTTCAGACACATCAGGCAAGGGAGAGAGAACACTTGGGTGATTTCTCTCATTGTGATTCTCCACTTCATTGTCTTTGTGGCCACCATTTCTGTCAATAACTGTAGGCACGTGTCTCACCATCAATGCGCTTTCCAGTTTCTTGGAAGATTCTCCTTTCAGCCCCTCTCTGAGAACCCTTTTCTTGGCCCTTCAGCCTCTACGTGAGTCTCTGATAATAAATCTTTTCTGAACTTGTTTATTTTTTCAATCTTAACGTGGTAATTTTTATTAAGGGTTTCTTGATTGACTGCTTCTCTTTTTTCTTTTCTTTTTTTTTTTAAATTTCAGAGTTTCGCGCTGCTCTGTTTTTCTTTAATGACCTTTGCTAGCTGATATCTTTTGTTATTTCGATGGTAAAAGTTTCATTTGAATCAAGTATCTAATTGTTGTTATCAATCAGGCCTTTGTCTATAGAAAACAGGACCATTGTTGGCCATGAATGGTTGAACTGATTGTTAATGGAAATTGTCCACTTGTTATGATATTCCATTTGCGTGAAATTTCTAAATTAATCTGAAATATTAACTAAAATGATGTTAATTATGGGTTTGGGATAACGGGGTTAGTGTCTGATTGCTATAATAGGATCAGTTTCTAACAGCAATTGGTCCCATTTACTGCACAAGGACTACTTTCTGAGTACTTCACCTTTTTCCTCTCTTTTTTTTTCCCAATTCTATTCTTTTTCTCTTTTTTTTTGGTCATTTTCTATCAGGAAAATGATTGCCTGTTTAATTTTTGAAGTTTTACATCTGTTGTTGCTGGACTAATCACAACTAAATTTGTCTGTATAGTTGTATGCTGCATTGAATTTAGGGTGTATTTGCGGTAGTTCCATGCTTTCTTTTTTTTAACTGCTACCTGTGCTTGTTCTGAAGATAGCTGAATTATCCGTTTTGGCATAGAAGAATGTTCTGTTGGTCATAATTCAGCAATATTGTTTGAACGAAATCTATTGGTAGCTTACTATGACAAATATTAGACATATGAATTGATTCATTGGAGAATAGGTATGACAGAATATTCCTGGTAAGAGGAGTTTAACAATCTTTTTTGTCTTCTTCTTGAGAATGTAAATGAAATCATGGAAGAGGTAGTTCATTTTGTTTCATGCCTACTTATTTGTGACTCAAGAGCAAATTCTGGCCTGTTGTCTGGCTGTATTTGAGCTTCTGCCATATGTTTGCCATAGTTTGGTGTCTGCAGAGTTAAATTGTGCTTGATCCTTTGTTTTTGTTTCATCTTCTTTTGTCAGTAAAGTTTGTTTTTACCTGTCAAACACATTTTTCAGTTCATGCTTTAACCTTGTGGAGTTTGTCTCATTCAAGTTTAATTTAAAGAACAAGGATAAGCACGCAGATTTCTCCTGTTGAATATGTGTTTCTGTTGTTATCCTCTATTGCTGAATGGTTTTATGTGTTCCTCCTGGTGTAGACTGAATAAAATGGGGGCTCTTCAAGAGACTCTTCTAACAGAACGTCATCAATTATGGCGTCTTTTCATAAGTCCATGGCTGCATGCAGGAGTTTTCCATCTTATTGTGAACCTCTTTAGTGTCATCTATGTTGGAGTTCATTTAGTGCAAGAATTTGGACCAGGTAAGATTTTATTGCTGTTGATTTGCATGGATTGGCTCCTACATGAATTCATCTGGGAGAAGTTTAATGTATGCCTTATTGTTTGTTTATTTATTTATTTAAGTTTTTTTTCTTTTGCTAGTGAGGGTTGGAAGTATCTATCTGATCTCAGCTGTAACTGGCAGTTTTGCTTGGTGCTCTTTTTATCCAACATAGACCTTCAGTTACTTCCTCTGGAGCACTATTTGGGCTCCTTGGAATGATGCTATCTGGGCTTATGAGAAACTGGAAAGTTTATACCAAAAAGGTCTCCTATTTTCCTGATTCTCACATTAATGTTCACCTTCAACTATACTTCTAATGACTCATGTGGTTAATGCAGCTTGCAGCTCTTCTGGCACTCTCTGTTATCATCTCTATTAATCTACTCCTTGGGCTTATTCCATACGTTGACAACTTTGCTAATTTTGGAGGATTCTTATCTGGGTTTCTTGTTGGCTTTGTGCTTCTTTTCAAACCTCTAGTTGGGAAAGCAGCTCATAACAAAGCTGGTTTATTTGAATTTGATGTTAAACAAGCTGTTAGAGTGAGGAACAAATTGGACAAGCCTCTTCTGAGAATCATTTCTCTAGTTTGCTTTAGCATTTTGTAAGTTTTCCTTTCTCTTTTTTGTTTGTCATTTTAGTAGATTATGCTTAGTGGCTCTGAACTTATGGTCCGACATGAGTTTGGCATTCAGAGTTGCAGGACTTACCATTGGAGTTCTTCACGGCATGGATGCAAACCAATACTGTAGGCCGTGCCAATATTTAGATTGTGTTCCTTCCAAATGGTGGAGCTGCAGCAACAGACCAATGCATTGTGAGGTACATAATGTGGTCAAAACTTGATAGTTTATTTCTAAAACCTGAAGTTTAACCTGTTTCATTCTTATCTATTTGTTTCAACGATATAGCAGTTTTGTCAATTTTAGCTTCTGAATTCCGCAAAATAGAGGATAAAAAGCAATGTCAAATGTCTGCAATTCTGTTTAGTTCTTCTTGCGAGTTCCAAACTTTGGGTTTCTGTCTTGCACGTTCTCATTTCTAGCATTGAGTAGGAGAAATATCCAGCAGCTTCACTACTGAAGTGAATTCTGCGTTTTTTCATTTTCTGCATAATTTTCGGATTCTATAATTTTGTGCAATAGCAGCAATTTTTCCAACGTTAGCTTCTGAATTGCTTAAAAAGGTGGATAAAAACAGTGTCAGATCTCCTCCATTCTCTTTAGTTAGTTCTCCTTATCAGTTCAAAACTTGGGTTTTCTGTCTTGCGTGCTCTTATTTCCAGCATTAGCTTGAGAGCTTTTTAGCAGCCTTCTACTGGAAGTGAAATTTCAGATTTTTTTTTTTTACCCTCCGCTTTGCACGAAATTTTTATTTTAAATACACCCTTACTTTGTGAAAGTGGCTGAGGAAACACTTGAAGATTGAATCAAATTGTTATGTGTTCAATTGCAGATGCAGAGCATAGTAAGCACAGAGCAACTCACAATCACCTGTTCAAGAAATGGCAATTTCAGAATTTTCCCATCCATCGAATTCTTCAGAAGAAAGGCTGCAGGATCTTTGCTATCTTATATGCTCTTAGATAATAGTCCAAGTTGCTTAGAAGCAAAAATCAGGACTAAAAGAATGAAACCTTACAAAACTGATAGAGGCCAAAAGATTGTAGCATTCTATTGTGCGTAACCCAGATGTTGCGGGCCTTGCGGCTGTAAAGTACTGTATGTACAGTCCTATCCATAAGGATGAACATCTGCTAATTCAGTGACCTGTACATGAATCTGAGACTGATAATTGTCCCAATTCGTTTTGCAATCTGCAATTGACTCTATCTCCCTGCCCATTTGATGGACGTGTTCCTCCGCTAACATGCAACGTGGTGATGGACGTGTACATAGAATTATGAAGAATACCGCAGCATAATTCTTCAAAGAGGAAATCCAAAATGATTCTTTTCGTGCTTTCCACCTATCTTTGCTGGTTAGTGTTATTTGCAAAATTAGTTTTAAAAATCAACTACGAAATCTATCCATATATGCAGAATTAGTTTAAAATAGGTTGTAACTTGCACTTGAAAGTTTTGGTTTTAATTGGTTTTAAGTTTGTGTATTTTTTTTTGGCTAGATTATCTTTTACCTTCGTGTGGTTCGATGCTTTATCATATCACCCCTTATTGTTTAAAAACTGATATATAACCTGCTTATGATTTGAGTTAAAGTGTCATCATTAGTTTTTCTGTTAAAACTAATAATCAATAGCAAAAGTTAGGCCATGTTTGATAACTCAATTCAGCACTTAAATTTAATGGATTCAGATCTTAATATATGTTAAACGCGTTTGATA